GCAGCTGCAAGTGGGGTTCAACTCTCGTATCTGTGTGTGGCAGACAAGGGTGTTGCTTAAAACGAGTTAGGAACTCAGGCTCTGGAATCAGACAGGATTTGACTCTTGGTCCCTCTTCCTAGTATTCTGACTTGGGGCAAGTTAATCCCCATGCTTCAGTTTCTTCATCTATTGCATGGGAATAATAAAACCTCCTCCCGGGTTTAGAGTGGAAGGGAACTGAGATGATAGATGCGGACAGAGGATTGGCACCATCCTGGCCATTGTGTCCAACTCTGTAGATAGATACTATATTCTTATCAACAACAAATATAATAAAACAGTCATGCTAGGCAGCTGATTTGTAAAATGGTTTCGCCACTCTTGAGAAACTCACTTCTGGCTGGCTTTCCGTCCAGTGGGCCCGGCAGGGTGTGGGGAGTTTGGATCTAATTTACTAGGGGGCTCGGTGGGTTCTGTGTGCTGTGGGTTTCTTTTAGCTATTCCCTGGGTGCGGCTGGCTTGCCCTGCTTGGAGAATGTTTCTGGGAGCCTATATAATATGAAGGTGTATTTGTGGCTCCATTGAGGAATGAGTGGTGGAGTAAGAGTGAGACTGAACAGAGAGTTGCTTGGTAGAGGCTGGATAGTTAGAACAGATGATGTGATAGGTGGGAGAGAAAGAGCTGAAATCTGATTCTGGGTTTGTGCTATGTTAGGGTTTAATCCCCGACGTGGTCTCTCTAAGGTGCCCATTCTGCAGGGTGCTCAGAGTCAGGCTGAATGTCTAGCTGATGATGCTGAGAGATAATTATGGGCACCAGCCAGGCCAAACTTTTAATGCACTGGTAAGTCAGCAGACCTAGGGAAGGGAAGTGACTTGCCCAAGCCCCAGCAGCTGGTTTATGTAGGCTGATGTTACACCTGGCTTAGGCCCTGGGTAAAAGATAAGAGAAGGCTGATAGGCACAGCTGGGATGGGGTAAAATCAAGGTCACAAACTTATATTAGGTCCATAAGGTGCTAGTTGGCTTGGTGAATTGGTTGCCAGTTTACAACTAAGCTGATTTTGCATTTTTAAAAATCTGGAGTTTTGGTGTTTCTTGGAAAATTCTGATCTGGCAAAACTGGACCTATAACCCAAAGTGACAAAAATCGCAGAATGGGTTGAGCAGTGGCTGCCTTCTTTAGCCTGGGCAGGTCCTGCCCATTCCCCATGATGTTCCAGGCCCGAATCTTTTGGTTTGATGCATGGTGCAAAAAGGAAAAGAAATTGGTTCTTCCTTTCATTTTCTTTTCTTATCAGGGTTTATTTTCTGGCCCAAGTATCCAGAAGGCAGCTGGCAGCCTACTGTAGAATATGTGCTGAGTGAATACATTTGCGTTGAATGAATGAATGGACAGTAATTGGTAGAGCCCTACACTTGGGATTAGAAGCCAAGTTTGAATCCTCCCTTCTTCCAGACAACTGAGTGACTTTGAACAAATCATATAACTTCTTTTTTTGTCTTAAATTTTTTTTGGTAGGGGGAAGGTCACTGTTGTTTTTATTTATTTATTTGAATAAGTGATGTCTTTTCATGTTTCATAATTCAGAAGGTACAAAAGGGTTACAGAGAAGTCTTCGCACTGTGTCCTGGCCACTCAGCTCCCCTCCCTGAGGAAAACCAGTGTTATCAGTTTCTAGTTTGTCCTTCCAGAGATACTTTATGCATGTGCAGTGAAATGTGTAAATACTCTTTCTCCTCTTTTTTACATAGATAGTAGCATAATGTGCATATGATGCTGTATTTAGCTTTTTAGCAGACTTTTCATTCAGAGAGTCCCCTGGAGAGACTCCCAAGCAGTGCGTAAAGCGTTTTCCCCTTCTTTCTTAGAGCTGCAGAGGATACCATAGTTTACAAAGCCAGTCCTCTGTAAGCTATGGGATACCATAGTTTACAAAGCCAGCCCTCTGTTGCTGAGCATTTAGGTTATTTCCAACCTATGGCTGTTATAAAGGCTGCAGTAAAAACCTTTGTGACATAAGTCACTTGACATGCCTAGAGTAAAATTCCTGGAAGTAAGACTTGCTGGGCCAGAGGGTACAGCCTGTGTCATTTTGGTAAATCTTGTCAAATTTCCCTCTGTAGCAGTTGCCCCATACTGCTCTCCTTCCAGCAGTGTGTGAGAGGTCCTATTGCCCCACACCCTGGCCATATGTCACCTTTTGAAGCCTACGAGGTCTTGTGAAGAACACAGTGTTTTATGAAAATATTAATACTAGCTACAATTTTGGGGGTCCCTATAATGGGTCAGGCCATGATCTAGATTATCTCATTTAATCCTAGCAACACTGAGATACTTATCACACTCATTTGACAGATGAGGAAAAATGTTTGCAGAGTTTGAGTCATTTACTCAGGTTACCTAGCTAATGGATTGTAGAGGCTGGATTTGAACTGAAATTTGTTGGATTTCAATACTGGGATGTTTTTATACAGTAAAGCCCTGCATCCTTTTAGGTGCTGGTATCTCAGCTGACACTTGCTTACAGTACCTATATCTTCCAGCAATCATGCCTCTCACACGGGCAGTTCATTTGCTCATTCATCCAATAGCAGTGGAATTCCTGTACTGTACTATACCCTGGGGATGCACCTGAGGACAAGATAGACATGTTCCCTTCCCATATGGACCTCACAAAGACAATAAGAAATACTCCTGTAGTAATTTTTTGGGTAGATTGTGACAGCAAAGGAGGTGAGGAAGGTGCCCTATGGGGTGATGTGACCTCATCAGGGGTGAGGGGGTAGATGGAGGGCCTCTCTAAGCAAATAAAGGATGGGCAATAATGGGCATGTGGATTTGAGCCTGAAGAGGTGGGTGGGAAGTATTTCACACAGAGAGTGCATATGTGCAATGGTCTTAGGGCATAGAAAAGCAGGTGGTGTTGGAGGAAAGGAAGGAAGGCCAGTGAGCTGGTGTGCAGGGTGGTGAGATATGAGGGTGTGAGGGTGGGTTTTGTGGATTTATTTTAAGAGCTGTGGTGAGCCTTTAAAGGCATTGAACCAACAGAGTGATGTGAGCATCCCTGGCCCTGGCTGTTAGGTTCTTGTTATAAGCCGTGTGACCTTATACAAGATAAATATATGGCATCTCCATTTCCTTCTCTGTAAATTGGGGATGGTAGTAGCACATGGGCTTTCACATGTTTTGAGTGCTACATACAGTGTGAAATAGGATATACAGACTCAGTACACATGAGTATACCTTTAACATACATGTTTCCCCAAAATGGGATGCACTCTGGTGTTTTCTATTCTAATCTATTTCATCGAAGTTTTTCGTCAAGACCCCCTAAACTCATTTTTAAAACACTGAGATAGTATGTATCAAGTGCCTCTTCCACAGTTGGCCCTTAGTAAAATGGTGCTGCCATTCTTATCATCACTATTGTAAAGATACTTTTGGCTGCAGTTAAAGAATGGATCCGTTGAGTTAAATGTCAGTATCTAAATCCTGATGGTGCTGAAGGATATTACACTGGCTTTTCATTTCTACATTCATGTCTCTGGGAAGGAGTTCCACGCTGGGCTTCCTGACTGCAGGAGCTCCCAAGGGGGACATGTCAAATGGACTGTCTGTCTGGTTTCCCTGGGAACTGGCTTCTCCTCATCTTCCAGGTGGCCATATGAGACTGTGTTCAGTTTTTTTTTACTTCTTTGTTATTTACACTCAGAATGGCTTTTTCCTGGAAGCCTCAGAGTCATTGTAAGTCACCCACTTCTTTATTTTAAGTTGTACCATGGTTCTACTTCCCTTTTCAGCATTGAGGGTTGGAACCTTAGTGGAATTCATTTGCATTTTCCACTAAGTATGCCGCCTTCTGCCCGCTGGCCTGGCTGGCAGGGCTGTGTCCCAGTCCCCGTGCCCTGCCCTGAAAGGAGAAAGTAAGACACCTCATTCTTCTTTTCCAAGAAGCACATCCTGCATTCCACGTGTGAAATTTTTCAAAGAAACCCATGTGGGTTAAGCCCTGGGGTAGCAAGAGCAGTGCTGATGCCCTGGAACCCTGGAACTGCCACAGCGCCTCATGATTCCAGGATGCCAGCTTTCCAGATAATGGAAATGAACTCTTTAGGCACCAAAAACTTAAATGATTTAAATCATTTTAGAAGCACACTTTTCTAAATGTTAACTGCATTGATCCTTCAGAAGAGAACATTGACCACAACACTGGTTTCTTCAGCTCAGAGACATTAGGCAAAGAACTCTTTGTGATGATGCTAGTGGTGAAGTGTGACCACCCCGCTTCCCCTGCCAAAATTCATGTGTTGAAGACCTAGCTCCCTCATAATGTGACTGTGCTTGGAGACAGGGCCTTTAAGGAGGTGACTAAGTTAAAATGAGGCTGTTAAAGTGGCTGTCATCTAATCTGACTTGTGTCTGTAAGAAGAGAAAATTAGGATGCACACAGACTCCAGGAATACTTGCACACAGAGAAAAGGCCCTGTGAGGCCACAGTGAGCAGGTGGGAGCCAAGGAGAGAGGTCTCAGGAAAAACCAAACCTGCCGACCCTTTGGTCTTGAGCTTCTAACCTCTAGAACTGTGAAAAAATTAATTCCTGTTGTTTAAGTCATCCAGTCTGGTATTTGATTATGGCAGCTTGAGCAGACTAATACAGCAGTGGTAGTGGTAATAAAAATAGACTATAGGTAGCACTTACCAAGTGCTTATTGCATATCAGAACTGTTCTAAGTCTTAGTTGAATCATCTCACCCTCCTCCCAATCCTGAGTCACCTGCCCAGTCACACAATAAGTGACGATACCAGCCTGGCTGTGGCATCTTTGCACCTCCACTGCACCTGTGTCTAGCACCTGTATAGTTCCAGGAACCCTGCCAGGCACTTCACAGATAATCTTTCTCACCACCAGAACTCTCTAAGATAACTCTT